ACCTGACATACTAAGTTTTCTACCACTAGAAAATGATTTTTGGGTTATTACATGGGTCCTGACTGTGGCAAGGAGATTAGCAGTTAAATCAGTGGGTTTTTACCATGAGAGAATATCTGTCAATCATTATCAAAAGACAAGTAATCTACAATAGTAGTACTCCAAAAAAAAGAGGAAAATACTAATTTCTAATTATTATTCAACTCATTGACTGCTTAATTCCAAAGCACATTTTGTTCAAAAGATAAATCTAGCCGTGCTGTCAGATTACACTTGCTTTTGGGCTGAGGGAGAGGCTGATCCCTGAGGATTTCCTGCCAGTCCCCGCTGTGATGCTGGAGGAAGAGTAGCCATCCCCCCTCTGCATTGAGTGCACTCACTGATGGGAGAAGGGGCAGAGATAGCTGCAAGCGTCTCAGGGCGTTATGCATGCACATATATAAAGTACTTCTAAGTCCCCACAGCGACAATGTTCAAACTCTTTCTTATTCTGATGATTTGGGTATTAATTTGCTTCCTGTGATTGTTTAATGTGTATATGCAGCCTATGGGGTTTTTTTCCTTCCCCTTTGCATGTGATGTGCCAGTAAAGGAAGACAGTAATAGCCTCCCGGGATATGTACAGCTCTGTTCATATCTGAGGTACGAAGTCAACTCAGGACCATTTTGTTCTCATAAAATATACAGCACTGCAGTTCAATGGATAATGGCATAAATACCAGAGTTTGATGGGCAGAACCATTTTCACTGGGAGATGAAAAAGACTATGAGAACTCAGTGCAGGATAGGAGATACATAAAACCATGTAGGAGCAGGATCTTGTGTGCTATGGGCATAGTGATTTTGCCTTATCTGAGTGTGCTGTCACACTTGGCTATTACCAAGTAGTAATAATTTTTTTTTTTTAAAGTACTAATGAGGAAGCTAATGGGTTTTGCAGAAAGTACTTTAGTACTCCTTTAGATGTGTGTTCTATAAAGGTAGAACCTTTTTTTGTACTGCTTCGGGTGATAAAAAGATGGTTTCACTTCAGGTCAGCAGGAACTGACTATGTTAGCTTCTGTTTCAGTGCATTGGTCTGGAGGGCTGCTGGGCATCTCCAGTTTCACTGCACTGGGGGAAAATTATAGGGGAACGTTGGGACTTTAGATCATGCTCAGGGTATTCTCTGCTCTGAACTTGGACAGAAAACTTTGCAGGAGGGAGGGAAAAAAACAGGAAAAATTGCTGAAGCCGAAGACTCTTTGAGTTGTCTGTATGGAAACTAAAAAAACAAGCTGCCTAGCTGCTCAGCTGGTTGCAGGTGTCTGTCTGAGAGCTCAGCCATATGTCAGGAACTTCAATGCCCTTGAGTCGAACCGTAAGGATGAATTGGACAGATTTGTTGATGTGCACAGAGTAGGAAATGACAAAAAAAAAGGAGAGTTCTGTAACAAGTAATTACCAAGGGCTTTCCTTTTGCTTTCACTGAAATACAGGTGAGATTCCTGCATAGGATTTGAAGCCCGAGCTAAGATGGCTTGGTGCCGCCCAAGGGCTGTGTTGTACGGGAGAAGGGAGCGCGTGTGCGCCCAGGCTGTTCCAGGTGCGCGGGGAAGGCTGCCTGCCTCCCTGCTGGGGAAACCCCGGCCCCGCTCCTGCCTTTGACAGCTCCGCCGCGGCTCTGCTGTGAATTAGTATTTTAATGAATATTACATAATTCTTGGATTCGGGTCTTTCAACTCCTAAATCTTCAAACCCCGTTTATTCTATTGTTTAACCAATAGAGGGTATTTCAGCATCTTTTTCCCTGGCAAAACTGTAGTGCATTTCAAATTATTCTAAAATTACCCGCACTTTTGAAGGACTAATTTGCGTCTGTCCACGGAATGCAGTCATAGACGAGCCCAGCCAGGCCCGCCGAGGGCGACGGTATAATTATAATTAGTGGAAACGAGCTTATTTTGCTCCCGCTTGGAAAACCGTGGAGCGTGTGGCACTGGGGGAACAGAGGGAGGGCTGGAGGGGCAGCCCCTGCCTCGGAGGCGGTGCGGAGGAAGAGCGGGGGGGAAGAAAAGGGGGAAATAGCCCCAACCTACGCAGCGCTGGTTTTGGTTTTTAATTTTTCGCCCTTTCCCCGGCGTGGGGGCGGTTTCCCGCCGGCGGGGCCCGCGGGTCCCTCCCGGCCGCGCATCCCGCAGTGCCGCGCCGCCGCTGCGGAGGCGGGCGGGGAGGGAGGGACGGGGCGGGCGCGGGGGGCGGGCGGAGGCAGGCGGCGGGCAGGGCGGGCAGGGGAGCCGGGCTGCGCGCAGGCAGGGCAGGGCAGGGCCGGGGCGAGCCGGGCCGAGCAGCGCCGCCGCCGCCCGCCGTGCCCGAGCATGTCGGCGCGGGAGGCGGTGACCTACCTGCCGGAGAAGGGGCTGTACTGCCAGCGCCTGCCCGGCCGCCGGGCCCGCGGGGCGCCGCCGCCGCCGCGCAAGGGGAAGCGCGCCGACACCATGGGCTTCTACGGCACCCTCAAGATGATCTTCTACAAAGTGAGTGGCCGCCTGCCCCCCTCCCCCGCCCCGCACCGGGCGCGCGGCCGCGGAGGGCGGGGGCGAGGCAGGAGGGGCGGGCAGGGGCCGCGGTGTCCGCGGAGGGCGGCGGTGCGCGGGCGGGGACGCGCCGGCGGCGGGGGCTGCCGCCCGGCCGTAGCTGCAGTCAGCGCGCTGCCGGGGAGCGCTGCCAGCGCTGGGTGGCGGGCGGTGATGCGGAATGCAGTTTGCTGCCCCTTCTTTTATTTTTCTTTAATTTTTTTTAAAAAAAATATTTTTATTATTCTTATTTTTTAATATAAGGCGATCTCGGCTATTTCGATAAATGAATGTTGTGTGAAGGAGTTGTGTTTTCCTAGCGACAGATTAAATGTTTCAGAGGGATGTTTGCTCGACGGTTTCTGTTTTTTGGTTACACGGAGACCTTGCTGGTGTCTGAATCTTGTCACTAGACCACTCTGCTGTAGAGAAAGTTTTATCTTCGTCATATGTTAAACGGCATTTTTAACCGTGTATTTACTTAGCACCTTTTGAGATGCTAAAAGTCAGTCTGTGTGGTGGACCCCATGTGAAAGTTGCCTAAAATACTTGAAAAATCCCTGACCAAAAGAAACAGGTGAAATCATTATTAGGCAGCGTAACGTATATTGTTTTTTCTGCTAACGCAAAAGAGTAAATCACCAGAGCTGATTACTCTGTTGCAGCCTTCCTACTTTTTATTTTAATGTGTACTTCTGGAAGCAGAACAGGAATATGATGATGATAACCTCTCAGAGAGGGGAGATAGAAATAAAAAATTTCCTTGAACAAGAAAAATTCTGTCTGAAAAGTCTATCATCAAGTACTGGTATTCATGCTCAAACATCTTATTTATGCTTCTAGTAATTTTGGTGGCTCACCCATCTAGCACAACGATAAAAGATGGTATCCATTATTTTTCACTGATGCTTACAACTGGTTTTCTTGGGGGAAGCACCAGGGGCTGCGCCTCCTGGGGCATGGGGAAGCAGCGAGGGTGAGGTTGGTGTTTCGGCAGCATGCAGGGTGGTTCTGGCTGAATACTTGTGTGGTGAAATGCTGTGGAGTGTCCCATGTGAGGCATGGGCAAGAAAACACAGCTACAAGGCAGGCTCTTCTGTTGCATTGTAACTCTTACTGTAAAAATGAAACTAGGTAACCTTAGTTAGCTTTCCTTTGTAATCACTAATGAAGCAGAACACAAGATCTTCAGTGACTGTTTTTAGGTAAAGCCATAAAGGTATAAAACCCAAAATCACAGCAAAATTACGTGGACCATAAGCTTTAAAGAATCCTGTTAGGTTTGGGGTGTTTTGTTTTAAGTAGGTAGATTGATACAGTAAATGGTTAAATGTGTTATAATATAACATTAAAAAAGATCAAATCAGTTGTGTAAGAAAGATGACAACTTTTAAACTGTATCTTAAACATGAAATTTTGAAAAAAAGGAAGCAAATGTTTATACTAAGTCTGAATTGTAATACAAGTAGTTTATGTATTTTGCAGCCCACAATTGTAAACAGCAGTAAACATTTTCAGTTGGCTTAATTGCTTTGGTGTATCACATCTCAAAAAGAAAAAAAAAAAAGAAAAAAAGAAAGAAAACCAACAAAATCTCAGAAGTTGCATTTGGCATATGTATATCTCATTGGGTCCAAAAGCCTGTGGTTAAAGATTATCCAAATATGTGAAAGTAATCTTTATTTGTCTGCCTGGATAAATATGGCTTTCACTGGTTTCCATCTCTTTGGTAATTTTTGCAGTCTGGCTTCCCCTTTTAGCAGCTGCCCTGCTCATTATTTGGTTTTGATCATATCTAATTGTGGGTGACATTCAGGACTGGGGTGTAGCATTTTTCATCCTTACCCTTCTTGGAAAAATACTGGTTAATCTGTCAGTCAGTTTTACTGCAGTTTTATAAATGTTTTCGATGTACAACTTTAAAATAAAAGGATAGAAAAAAGAAAAGAGTCTTTTTTTTTCCAGGCCCTAATATAAATATGGTTTATAGTGCAAGCAGGCTACCTAAAATTTAACCATTTCCATGAGAGACTTAGCAATGAACCTGAACACAAGGAATCAAGGGCTCTGGTTTAGTTCTTTCACTCCTTTCCCAGGAAAAAAATCGGAGAACAGTTTAGTAAATAAACTAACACAGTTCTGCACACTTTTTCACATTTGAAATTTGGAATTTAAAAGAATGTAATTACAATAGATTTTGGACCCTATTAAATAGCAATAATATATACATGCACTCTATAAAACATATATCAAATATTGTTGAATCTAAAAACTAAAATGCTGCTTTAAATCATTTTGTGAGCATCAGCTTTGTTGAAATCGGATAGTAAATTAAAGTGTATTAAAGTAGAAGGTAAAAATGTATAAATTTTACGGAAGTAAACATAAGTAAGGCTGGTCATGTAACTAAATCCGTGTTGTTACTCTTTTTCCCTCACCTTGCAGATGAAGAGAAAGTTGGACCATGGCTCCGAGGTCCGTTCTTTCTCTCTGGGAAAGAAACCCTGCAAAGTCTCAGAATACACAAGGTAATTAAATGCAATAACAGATCACTGGATCCTGATTCCTGTGTATATCCTGTCTTTCCAATTGCTGAGCCTGATTAATTAAACTCCTCTTAAAAGCACTGTAAAGCAAAGAAGAGGTGGTATCAGCATTTGTATATTGCTTTGCTAATTTAAATTATGTGAACTGAAGATGAGTTTTAATGAAGTAGCCAGACTTACGTTTCTCTGGTTGAGGTTTGTGTTTCGTTCTAAATATAGCGTGCCCATTTACTTAGAGACTTTTTGAGGGGTGAAGCATTCCTGGTAATGAAATCAATCAGATTTTTAAAAAGGGACATAATGATAAACCCCAAGACTCTTACAAACTGAGATCAAATGTATCACTTTGCTATGGTAACAGGAATGAGAGAATGGAAATTTATGTAGGCAGAGCAGACCATCTGATCTTAGAGGAACACATGCGTACTTGTTATCCACTTACGGGTTCTAGTCTGCTTCCTTGCTACTCCTGAATGGTACCAAATCTCACAAATACCTGCTGCTGTTCCAGTCAGGGGCTTTGTGGGGTAAAGCACTCCTAACCATGAGCAGGAGTGGCGGACATAATAAGTGTGCTTGGATGTCACACTGCTTCCCATCCTGTTTGAATGTACACTGTTTTACATTTTTTTTCCGCATAATAAGCATCGTCCCTCCCAAAAGCATTGCGCTTGCCTCCCAAGGCTGTCTGGAAATAGTACTTCTTTTGAACACGGTATAATAATGTTCAGTCACTGATGGCTCTTTCAAAAGTAATTTATATTTTATTTCTCTTCCTTTAAGAGGTTTATCAGGTGATTAGTGAAAAGTTAGGCAACAAGTCACAGGACTGCTTTGCAGATGTGTAAATGGTGCAATAGATTAAAGGAGGCGATGTGTTTTTACTGAGAGGCACGTGTTGCAGCTTCCACATCCCCCCAAGTCTCAAGGTGGTACATTCTCCCAGTTTCTAAGTCGGTCTAATGGAAGAACTCCCTTGTTGACCACCATTTCTTCAGGTGGCATGCCGTTCTCTACACTCCCAGAAGAGTAAACAGTTCAGCAACAAAGAAACTACAACTACTTTGTCAAGTGTGTGTCAGATGCAGAGGAACTGCTGGACTTGTCCAGCTTCCACAGAAACCTGACTGATTGTTTCAGGGGAATGTTTTGTGAAAAATAAAGCATGAACAAGTGTCTTGTGATACAAACTCAGGTCAAAGGAAAGAGGCTTTTAGAGGCTTTCAGTTTTGTATAACTGTTTTTGACTGAAAACCAGTTTACAGCAGATGAAAGTAAAGCGTAACTGTTTTACTGGGGCAAGCTCAAGGCTACGTATTGCTCAGATCCAATAAAAGCTAATTTCAAGTGCCTTACTTTGGACCTTGAATGCTAGGCCTTGTGCTGGATCTCTGTGCAGGGGATGAGAATGAGTAAGCTGTGATATCACATTTTATTTTAAAAATACTTTTAACTGATGTTCCTTGGATTTTGAGTCATTATTGGCATACAAGAATCCCTAAATAACATCCTATCCTCTCTCTCTTAATTATTTGATTTTATCTAAATAATATTTAAGCAAATGATGCAGTTCTTGTGCCTGCTTGTTTCCATTTTCCCTAGGATCAGGCACTCTTTAAAATTGAACAGTCCCAATGAACTTTGTTTGCATATAACAGGTAGAGCAAGTAACCAAATGCCATTAAGAGTATCCTTCATCTCTGAAACAGTATTTTTATACCAGCTTCTGTTTTTGTTATTACTCAGCAAAATGAACAGTTAAAAATAAGCCTGCTCAAACCAATCTTTACTTTTCTTGACCAGTTTGGGTAAATGTTAGGACATGCTATGGTTGTCCTTCAGAACAAGGAAGAGTAGAGTGAAATATTTGTAGAGCATAATGAGGTAAATATTAAAATGAACTTACCTTACATCATTTAAAACTATTCCTGTAACCACTGAAAAATCAGTAAAACCTATAAGCTCATACCCACAAAAAAGCTGGATTTATCCTACACAAAAGCAAAGGGTTTTTCAGAGTCTTACACTGTATTTAAAATTTTCATGCTTATGCAAATACTACCAGGGTTCTGTATTTCCTGCTAGGGAATACAACTTTGGTATTCTGTGAACGAAGTGCTTTACATTATGTAAAAGAAAAACCAAAAACCCACAAAAAACCCCAACCCCCAAAAAAAGCCCAAACCAGAGAACACAGTCAGCTGTATTTCTTTAGATTCCCACAATAGCAGCTTAATCCCAGCTCTTTTAAAAGCTCCATCCCATATGAATGAGCTGGTTTTTAACATGTCAGAGTGAAAAAATCAAGCTAATTCAGAAAGCACCTTTGGATTCTTTTCCCTTTTCACCTCACCCCCCACCCCTTTTAATTCCTCTGTCATTCCATCAACACGCAAACTTTAAAAGACTGTATAGAGTATTTCAAAGCCCAGTTCTAGACCACTAAGCCACTAGAACTGCTTCTAGACCACTAAACCACTAGAACTGCTTGATATTATTAGCTCTTTGTCAACAAAATATATTAAGAGCTAAAAATAGATACTTTTTTTTTTATTTTATTTTCTGTTTGAGGATGAAGCAACACTAGTACATTTCACCAATAGGTGAGACTCTGAGCTCTGGCTTCCTACATCCCTAGTCAGAAGGCACCAGTGGAACCCAGGAGGAAAGTACCGTACCCTGGCAAGGAAAGGAATATATAAACCTGAATTTTTGTAGGCAACCTGCTGGCCAATTAATGGAGTGGTAATTTTTCAGCGTTGAAGGGTGATCCCCGTTTCTTCCCAAGCTGGAGAGTTAGCACTGCAGTGCAGGCAGATTTATCCAAGTGAGGGACTACCCTCTTGAGTGACCAGCAGCACAATTTTTCATGTTATTACTTTTCCACGAAGCTAAAGAGTTTAAGTAATAGTCGCAAATTATGTACTAGGTTTTTTTTTTTGTTGTTCTGCAATAGACTTCTGAGTTTTCCTTAATGTTTGATGTATGACTGTCACTTTTTATTTGTATCGTAGTACTACGGGGCTGGTGCCATGTTCCGCCACACCTACTACTTTTGGGGACCTGAGGGCAGCCAATGGCCAGGGACAGCAGCGCCGCCGCATTACATCTGTGCAGCCACCATCGGGCCTTCAGGAATGGCTGAAAATGTTTCAGGTAACCAGTGCTTAGAGAAACGAATATCTGAAGCATCTCACCCCCATGGTTAAAGTGGGAGATTGCTTCAGCAGAGTCAGTCCTCCTTGTACATCCAGAATGCCTCTGCCGTTGATTTTGTGTTCTGTTGCAGAAACAAATGGGCGTCAACTTTAAGGAATTGTTGTTCCTCGTTTCAGCAAGTTACTGTAGAGGTTGATAAAAAATAACGGCTTTCGCTGGTTTCTTAATAAAATAACCCTTCCTGTTTAGTGCTTTCATATTTTCTGCCAAGTCTGTCAACATGTAGTGGCTACATTCATGGCCTCAAGCTAACTTGAGAAGTTTTCATTCGAGACTAGTAAGCTTTAGTGCATGGTTTGCTTCAGTGCAGGTATAGCACTAGATTTGTCATAAGTCTGGTGTCTTCCAAGAATAGAAAGAAAAGTTTATCAAAAATAGATTAAAAGGAAACTCAATGTGTATTTTTACTGATCTTTGTGTACTGAACATGTCAGCCATGTTCACAGGCAAAGGGAGGAGGGGAAAAGGTTTTTTGTATCTTTTGAACCACCTTCAACAGCACCTAAAAAAATAACTTTACCTGACAAAAGAAGAGATATGAAGGACAGTGCTGTGGACCACTTGCTTAGATCAAAACTGAAATCTGCCTGGACACCAGTCTGGGAGCACCTAAACCAATTCTGTGTGTGTTAATACAAACACAGTTTGGGGCAGGCCTCTCTCTGCCTCTGTTCCTCAACTGTATTGTGGAGATCTCTACTGTACATTTTGCTCTGTATTTTTAAGAAGCAGGCATGAGTCCCAGTCATGGATTTGAAAAATGGAAATAATATGTCTTCCTATCTTGATTAAAAAACTGTTACTTCTAAAAACATTTTCAAAAGGAGTAAGTAACAAATACAGGCATTGTTTCAAGTACTGTAACAGGCAAAAATAGAAGAGAAATATACAGTAGCTAGCATACAATTTTGCAGGCAGAAGCCTGCTTTTGGCTTGATTCATGCTACCACATAATACCATTGATCTCAATCACTGTCAGTTCTGAACATTAAAATAATAATGTAGAACCTCTTTCCTCTTTTTTTAATGCATTTATGATCTGCTTAAACCAGTGGAAGTTTGAAATTAGGATTCTTGTACACATCATTCAGTTTCTTAAAAATATTCACCTTTAATTACTATGGTGTATCTTTTTTGAGACTGTTCATAGAAATATGTCTTTTTAACCCCTAAGAATCATATTTGAATGGTACTTTGTATTTATGGTAATGTAATACTACATTGTATTTAACATTTTGTAATGTTAAAACTCTGGTGCTAACAAAAGCTATTTTGTTATCAACAATGTACAACATGTATTTTCACATAAGATTCATAGTTATTGATAGTTGTTTTTAAAAAAAGATTCTGAAAGGCTGGAATGTTTGAGACAGTGGTGCAGACTGGAAAAACAATGCTATCAACTGTTTTGTCAGGATAAGGAAAAGTAGTCTGTAAGCCTGTGAAAATTTTGTCTATGTAGACAAACATACAGTTTGTAATGTAGAAAACATGCTTTACTAAGTATATAATTAGATACTTCAACTTTTCAAAATACTTAGTTGTAACACTAAATGCCTAAATACTGATTTATACTATTGAAATAGGGGCAAGGAGAGGGGTCTCTCCTAACTGGAGATTGTTGAGTACCACTTATTGATCACATCTTGTCACTGATAGGTTTTTATTGTATTCACAAAGGGAACCTCTTATTTTAGAATCAAAAGCTTTCTATCTCAGTGTTACATCTACTTGCCTCCTCATTTTCTATCTGCTTATTTTTCACATGAGTTTCATGAAAGGGGCGAGTCTTAAATAGCCAAATGATAAAAGCACATTCATAGGGGAGCTAGCTCTGCCCAAAGGGCAGGATTAAATGGTATATGCAGCATCATTCTTGCAGTACAAAGTTTGTCCTGTAGAGAAACAGGAATGAGAGAGCTTTCTTCATGTACTGTGTACTCACTAGGCTTGCTTAATAGCACTCATACTTTATACTTAAATATTATTTCCAATTGATTTAAAACCTAAATTTTCAGGGGCATGTTAGGTGAACATAGGTACTATTTCAAGGTAGAACTGTTCTTTGCCATAGCAGCTGTCAGTGACCAGTGATTATCAGTTATTTTGAGGACTCTCACTTGTAGTTAGCCTTCAGTCCTTCTCATATGTTATCTTTTCAGATAAAACAAGACCACTCTGCAAATATTAAGAAAACTTAAGATGGCCTATAATTTTTTTTTTTATTATTTCTTATATGTTCTTCCTACTATGTTTTCTAGTTGATCTAAGCCTTTTATTTTGAAAGTAACAAAATAATTCAGAAGGGAGAAACAGTTGTGTAGTTGCACTTGCCCTTTAAAAATAAAGCTGGATATTGATTTTTATGAAGTCTAGAAGGAAAAAAAGAAAAGCATTTTAATAGATCCAAACCATTTAATTTCTTAAAGACCTATTTGTTTTTTCTGGTTTGCAGTGGCTCTTGACTTCAGGTCTTTTTAAAATCCAGTATGGGAATTTTTAAAACTCGGTGGCCAAGTGTATTTTTACAAAGAAATTTTATTTTCAAGTCACCAAATTGCTTATCATAAGGAAAAACATCAGCTGGATGCTAAGTTCAGTCAGAGATGGTATTGCTTTAAGAATTACTAAGCTCTCTCATTCTCTTTTTCTTCCTACTTCACATACTTAGGGTGTTTTAAGTAATGTGTAAAAAAATTGCATTTTCATGGAATATTGATGTTGAAAAGTTGTTCCATACACACTAATATAGGCAATCACTTTGAATAACAAGTGTATGCAATTATTTTACCTAAAATTGGAAGCAATTTTTTTTTTTCACAGCAGTTTAGATAATGTCCAAAATGCTTTTGCCATTTTTGGCTGGCAAGAGCCCTGTCCCTTTTTTTTATATAAATAGTTGGCTAAGCCACCTAAATTCAAATTACTTACCATTCTCCATGTCTTATTCTTCCAAAGACACTTGGGAATGAAAAAATGTACAACTGAATAGTCTACCTCTTATGTGAAGCAGGTGGTGAAGATTGTATCATAACAAGCATTGCAGCATTTTCTGCTCTGTGTCTTGTGGTGGGACTAGGTCAAGGGTTTGGTGTTTCTTTCCTACACACCTATTGGGAGAGATCTGCACTACAACTACAGACCCCTCTTGGCTGTAGCACTGTTACCAGTTTGTTTCAGAGGAATAGTGCAGACTTACAGCAGGTCTCCTGACCATCCTGGCTTATTTTTTATGGGTTTGGCTCTCATGGCAGTTTTGTTACCTACTAACTCAACTGATTTCAGAAGGAATTCCTATTTTATCAAACCTCTAGCAGGGATGTAGGGTCTGAACCTGTCACAGCTCCTCTAGACAGGGTCCATCACATGTAACCGCGAATGTTCAGCCCAGGGGACCAGACTGGATATTGGGACTCTGATATGGGTTAATGTGGGGGCTTCAGCACCAGCTGCTCCTGAATCCCTCCTGGTGTGACAAACTGCTTGCTAATGTAGATGGTGTTCCTTTCAGTGCTTATGTGCTATTTTTATCCAGATTGAGATACCTTTGAGGTGGAGGATGGTGGGGTCCTTGAAAACTGATCCCAGAATTGAACAGAAGCAGGCTCCAAGAAGAGCCCTTCCTGCAAGCCTTCATCATGACAGACCTCTTTTAACAGAACTTAGTAATGGAGAACAGCACCCTGAAGTTAAACCCTTGAAAATAGATTGTCCTTAATGTAACTATTATAGCAAAAGGCTATAATTGCTACAAACTGTAATTGTACAAATTGAAGGCAGCAGATGAGGTCTGAGTGATAGAAAAGCATAGGCCATGGAAGAGTAGAGGTGCAGAAACAGATGATGATAAAAAGAGAGGTGGCAGGTCAGACAGGACAGATGAGGTGGAAGTTGTAGAACAGCAAAGATGTTGTTTATATTGATTATAAGAAAGGGAAGACATTTACACACAATAACAAAGGGGGGAAGGAAAGGATAGTTTTCAGGTAGGTAGTGCCATGGTTGCATCAGCTGCAATACTGAGTGAGGAAATGGTCTGAACCAGCCAAAAGACTTTGGCTCACAAATCAACACCTTTCTGAAGAAATGGGAAGAAAGGGGATGTGTGTTTGTTTAGGAATCTGAAGTCACTCAAAGGACAGGATCAGTAGGCCTTGGTGGCTTCCCAATGGTTATGTGAATGAATCCTGGAGTTACCTATTCTAGGGAGTTCTCTGCCCATAATAAAAGCTTTATTTTAATTTTACATTAAAATTAAATTCAAGCTATGAAGACAAGGAAAACCAATTAAGCAAAAGCTTTTTAAAGATAAAGTATATTCTTTATAAGGATCTTGAATTTGAAAGGGAATTACCTGGTAGAAATCCAAGGTATCTGGACACTATACCACATGGCTCAGAAGTCTCCAGTCATCTACAACGTTTGAACCTTTGCAAGCTATTTGGCAAGCATTTACTTTTTCTTTCTCTTCTGCAACATTTGTTCCCTGTTGTTTCTTATCAAAGCCACAAACTTACTCCTTACCCTCTCCACCTAATGAACTACATGCAATTTTTTTGCAAATGGATTAAACTACGGGGCACAGAGACAGAGTTTACTAGTCTTGCCTTTGTTAACACAAACAGTTGTGTTCCTCTGGCAAGGCTTCATCCCAGTTTTCCATGTCGGACACTTCCTTCAGAGACCCTTTACCGGCTGTAACTGGGGGTTTGTTTGCTCAAGTGAAAGACTAAGGGGACAGTGTCCTACAGACAACATTTTGTAGCAGCTGATTGCTTTAAAAGAGCCTTAAGAAGCTGCCTGTACCCATCCCCTGATAAAAGAGAGTGCTGCTTTTAGTCATTAGCATCTCTTTCCCATTCTTGAATCTTTTCCCTTTTCTTTTCAGATCTGTATTACGTTTTAAAAACCAAGTAAGTGTAAGGGAGTTACAGATTAAGATAGCGTGCAGTGACATTATTAATCAATAACCTGTTGGTAACTGCTAGCAACATTTGCTACAGCAGCAAACAATGCTCCTCAGGTGGACTAGTTCTAATTTAGTAAATGTAGCTGCTTATAGATTAAAAGTAGACTGACCTTGGAAATTTAGATTATAAGGAAGTAGCACAGGTATTACTTTCCCTCTTTTTAATTCTCCTAAATTCAAACACAGCTGACAGATGAGATTAAAGACTGCAAACGTTTGTACCTAACGCCAGCTAAGCTCTGGGTTAATGAAACAAACAGCAGTTGGAAAGTTGGTGAGATAAACAGTTCTTCAGTGCATGATTTATGGAGAACTGCTATGTGATGCAAATGTTTCTATTGAAAGAAATTTATAATAAAAGGTGTTTACAACAGCACTGCTGCAACTTTGGCTGAGACCTTTTTGTTTCTTTTTAATATTCTGAGATATTGGATATGAGACACAGAAATCCTCATCTCCCTTGGTGACGCTCTACATACACACAGGTGGATGGGGAATATTTTTTTTGCCAGCTTAATCTATTTTACCAATTGCCAACAGTGCATGGAAAGGCTCAGGTCAGGAACTTTCTTCCCCTCCTCCAGTAGGGTAGGATGTCCAGTGTCAGCCACACATTTGCTGTAGAGTGAGGGCGTGGAACTGGGGTGAGCAAGCTGCGGCACGTGGGCTGCTCTCACAGCGGCCCTGGCAGGGGCTTGCTTGAAGCCACCTCCACTGCCTGATGGAATGGGGTCACCTGAAAGTCCCCTGGGTCATCGTTTGGGTAAATGATGCTTTTATTGACATTTCAAGTATTTTGACATTTTAATTAGGGAGAAATGATGCAACATGATGATCTTTCTACATTGAGTAAAGCTGGGTATTTATCTGCTTTGCATTCGCTTTCAGAAATTCCACCTTCCTCTTCACTTGCCTCATTGTTCTGCAGAAACTGCACAGTATACAAACATTGTAGTATTGTGGAGACCGGAGTGAATTGTCAGAGTCAAATCCAGAGAACAGAAATTTAGAGCATGAGTAATAATGGTCCTGAGGTACATGGCAGATTAATACAGAAATCTTAATTGTAAGGTATCTTGCCTTTTTTTTTTTTTTTTTTTTTTCAGTTAGCCTCTTACCATAACTGTAATATCATTTGTATGTGCTAATTTACTTGTAAGTGTCACTCTAGAAGACATTCGAGATTATGAATGTGAATCTGCTCTCAAAAACTGTGGTGTCTCATTTTCTCTCTAAGGCTTTATTCGTGCTCTAATTCTGTTGCTAAATTAGTTAGCAGTAGTTGTTGTTTTTTCCTGTAGAAATTATATTTTCTTTAAATTGTTTTCACATAACAAATCAAAACTCTTTGATGAGCACAGATGAGTTTAAGACATGTTTTTTGGATGTGCAGTATATTAAGTTATTAATTTTTTTATACAAATGATGCTCCTAATCTGCTATGCTCTCAATTGAGTGCCTTATTAAAATCTTCAAACTTTATGGTGCCCATTAGTAAAAATGTGAAGTAAGAAAATTACCAATCAAAATTCCCTGTTTACTCAAGTGTAAATTGATACTTAGAAAATATGTGTTGGTTTATAGCCAGGATTCTGAAATTACAACATTGTCGCTTAGGGAAACACTGTAGTAATAATCAGGCAGTAGGCAAATGTACTTTTTAGAGAAAGTTTTTTATTTTCATTTCCTCTCATTTCAAGATTTGAAATGTGAAGGTTAGAAGTTACCATCTCAGTTGAATGCACAATGGAGAAAGACAGAGAGGGAACGCATTCTGTTGCAACCCCTTCGTTCTCTGTAACGTGTGTGTAGATTTCATCAATTTCAAAAGAAGCTTAATTAATTTAATTATTATTACTAAATATTATTATCTCTTTAATTGCCAATCTGTATGTGTGCGTATAACAAATCCTTTCTTAGCTTATAAATCAGTGTAGTAATTTCGAATATTTTGTGTTGATTAACTCCTCATTTTTGTGTCATTAGCATGAGCATTTATCTCTTGGCTTTTTATATGCTTGAATATAGGTCGATGAGCAAGCCTAATTTGCCTTATTGGCAAAGCAGTGGCACTTACTGATATCAACCAAACTAGTGTGTTAAACTAAGCTTACTGTTTCTTTCTTCTTTTTTCCTTGCAGAGCTGGAGTGGACCAGAGAAGTTACTTGCTTTAGATGAACTCATTGATAGTTGTGAACCAACACAAGTAAAACACATGATGCAAGTGATAGAGCCCCAGTTTCAAAGAGACTTCATTTCCTTGCTCCCAAAAGAGGTGAGAAATAAAGGTTAATACTGGATTATGCAGTGCACTGGCTACCATCTTTAAAAACTTAATGCTAATTTTGCTATCTTGGTGATTTAAACTCATGTTAGAGGGTCACAGTTTGGTACACTGCCATAACATGGCTACTGTAATTTCAGATTACCGTACCTCTATCTCATGATAATCCTTTAGATACCTGGAAATACAGATGACCCTTTTAAACAAAATCCCAGTAGCTGTAAAAATATCTCTGTATCTTAATTGGGCCAATTTGGCTTTTCTTTTTTTTGAGAACTAATTCTGTTAGAGCAACACACACAAAAATTTCCTCTGGATGTAAGACCTCTCTGCACATTATTCTGCAAGTGTAAGCTTTATTTTGTAATCCTTTTAGTGGTGGGGGTTTTGTTAATGTTATTTTTGAATTTATTTTAAACAAGTGGAGCCCTAATATCTCTACCAAATAAACCAAAAGTAAAACCAGAAAAGCACTTCTTGCTAAGGATAAAGCCAAACTGTAATTAAGCAGACATGTTACAGTAAATCCTTTACTGCAAATCAGATCATGTTGTATCAGGTTAAAGAGAAAGTAAGATTTAGATTTCAGCGTGTGCAACTAAATGCTGTCCACAGAAGAGTAATTCGTGATGTCCTCACAACTAGAACATGAGGGTGGATATGAAAGAGGATAAACTCAGTTTTCTGCGGTTATTAAATAAATGTATTTTAGTTAATTTAGAAATGATACTTCTGACCTTGATTGATTTTAGGGACTTGGAAATGTTTGTTGTTTGGAGAGGGGATGAAGTTTTATTATCTTTTGCCAGATCTACCATATGTTGGGTTTTCTATATGAAAATTTTCATGAGGGCTTAATTCTTTCGTAAGTCTTAGTTACTAACACTATACAAAACAAGTTCTTTTAAGATATTCTGGTGCTAGTATTTGGTTGCTGTGTTTGACATGGTCTTATTACCTGAAGACTGTTTCATATCTCGGTTTCTTGACATTCTTTTCTGGTCTATATCCTATTTTTGAAAACTCAGATGTACAAGACCCTTCTTTCTGTTTATATACTGTCATATCTTCACATGTCAGGAAGTGTCACAGCCTTCCCTTGCTGGCTGGCATTTGTAAGGGTTGGAATCAATTTATGCAATGAGTACTAACTCAGTACACAGGACATGAGATTAGTATTTACAGAAGCCCTTTCTGCAGCAGCCTTCTTCGGGAATGGAAAGGACACTGGGGCAGGAGAAGAGTTCAGTAGCACCTCTGCATGGTTGCCATGTTTCTAAAAAGCTACTCAAAGCAACCTTAGTTCAGAGGCCAGGAAAGACAGCAAGACTTTGTATTTTGAGGAGATAGAAGATACTTTGCAATTTCTAGTGATAACAGGAACTCACAGATCAGTTCTCTTCGCATGATTTTGTGGCAATACTAAGACAACTGGTGGTCTAGTTACACTGTAACTAAAGATCATGTTATTATTTCAGTTTTCACAATTCCTTCACAGAAAAGATACACTATTTAGCAGTAACATTTTCTTTCTCACTTAGGTTTCTTGATTCCATTGGAAACTACTCGTGTTTAATTTGTTTATTTTTAGTGGGTTTCTTGCCTCTTGAAACCAGAATATTGTAAGTGCTTCATGGTGGGCTGACTTCACCAGTGAAGTTGGCTTAAATAATTTTTGCTTCCTAACCCCGAGTCACTGTCACCAAAATTAACCAGGTTAAAAAAAACTGTCGAGCTGACTCCACCATCTCCTCTCCTTTTCCTTCACCCAGATCTCCTAAGTGGTGCTGTCCTCAGCTATTTAATGCTGGCTGCATTGGGGGGTGACGCGCTGAGCTGTGGGGGCACGAACAAGTTGTTAGGGTCAGTAATTCTGTGAGCAGGCTTCCCTGCCGAAGAGAACACGCTCCCTTGAGTTGTCGCTCTGCGTTAACATCTGTAGTTATCTCCAGTGCTGTTGGATGCAATGCAGTGATTTTATTACTGAACCAGAACAAGGAGATGATGTGGACGGGAGGGCTTTGCTTCAAAACCGTTTTCTGCAATGCAAAGACAGTAACATAATAGCCAAATAACCAAGAAAATGTTTGCTTTCCTCCTAAGGAAAAATGCGGTCAAACAATTAATCTGAAATAAACACTCCTGTTTTCTTGCTGAGACTTTAGAAATAATTATTCAAATTACTTATTTGTGAAAATCAGGTCTAGAAACCAACAGATGTGGAGTGTTGCTGAAATCAACCATAGAAATTTTATTGGTTCCCTGTGTGTGAGTGAAGACAAAGGCAAGAGACTGCTTACTGTTGGGTATTATTAACACTACAGCAGAGAGCAGTCCTAAATCCAGTTCAGTCAGAGGTCAGATCCTTGCTACCTGAAGTTTTCTTACAATTAGATCCATGAGCTGAGACAAAGGAACATCATCTTTTATGCACTACTAATCTAAAAGTCAGTTGTGGGCTGTGTTGACCCTTGATGACTATTTAGATAAATATAGTCTAAAATAAATGCTACCCATATGTAACCTGGTTTAGAATCATCTGGCTTTCAGGTTTAATTAACACCATCTTAGCAAGTGTCCATATCTGTAGAAATAGGACAAGTGACATTTAAACAAACTCTGCTGTCAGTTGAGGATCATCCAGCAAAAAATGGAAAGGGTCTGTGTCATGTTTGAGTCTTGCTACATGCAAAACTATGTGATGTGTGTAAGGGAACAACACTTCTTCAACAATTTTACATGCCAGGAATTAAAACAGAAAGTCTAAAAGGACAGGTACAGTTGTTGCTCCTGTAATAGAGAGCTTTAAACCAGATCCTGTATACTGATTCCCTGAGTAGGAACAGAGGAAGATTCTTCAGGTGTATGGCCTGGGATGCCTGTGGGATCTAATGCATAATTTAAGACACAGGTCCCTCAAATGTGGAGTTATACATGCTCCCTCTGAGGTGCAGGTGATGACTTGCAAACAAGGTGTGTGTGCAACCAAAAGACAAACAGTTTTGACGTACTGGATTTTTATTTCCTGCTCAGTTGCTGGCTGGTCTAAATTACTGAAAGTAAATGTTTCTCACAAAATAAGGTCAAAAATTTGCTGAGGTCAATAGCCTACGGTTATGACTTCCTTACTAAATTTCAGTCTGTGCTGCTTTGAAGGGCAGGTTCTATTTATATATATCATAACTTCAGCTGAAAATTAAATTCAAAACCCTAAACAGAAAAAGATATGGCAAGCAGAACTAAAAGTGGATGATCTGATTTCCTTGACAGCTTCTGCATCCTATTAGTTACTGACAAAGACCCCACTGTTTCAGCATGTAAGTAGTTCTCTGCATCACCATTTATCAATATTTTTCTTTTGGTAGAGTTTTCAGCTGTGAAAGGGACTTTCCTGCATCTTACACTTATTTTCCATGACTAGGGAGATGCACTGTTGCTGTCAGGTAGAAAAACTGTACTTGGTCATCATACCCTTAATGATAGCTGTCCTAGCATCTTGGATTGTTTTTTAGATGCCTCTGCCCCTGTTTAAGACTTCAGTATGTCTGAAGATATATGTAGAGATTTTGGGGGGGTTAGTGTGTTCACAGTAAGGCTTAGTTAAGTCAACCGAGGTCTGAATTCTCCCAGTAACCTTTAATTTTGTCATGTGGAAAAGTTCATCTTCTGTTTATTTTCATTGGGATTTCCCATGTGGTTTTGGTAGCATATTGTACTAAAGTTACACACTTTGATCCTTCTGCATCCCAGTCCGTAAAATCCCTTGTAACACCACCTAAGAATGTGTTTGCATTCTCATCAGAAAATGAGTGATACATACACTGTATTTCCTACTGCTGCAGAGGGGTTTTGAGCTCAGCTGCACGCAACATTTACTTGTTCTGTGTGTGGGCTTTCTGGGTGATGTTATTCCTCACAACATACATCCCTATTTGCTCACAAAGCGAGTGCTGTACTTTCTAGTTCAACTCTCAGAATAACTTCTGTTGTATTTGTTAGCTGAAATAACATAGACATAATTACTTCAGTAATAATTCTGGTAATAATTCACAGTAACATGGATTACATTTCTATAAAAAAGCGTAATGATGATTTCAGCTGACATCTACTTTCTTGCAAATACAAGAATCATTTTGTGATGTGGTCTGTGTGGGTTTAGTTACTTAAGATGATTGTTACATTCCCACATGCCCACAGGAATAAACTGGAGTCTGTTACGTTTCTGAGATTGTTTAATAATTTAGTGTTTCAATTTTCTGTATTTCAGCCCCTGATGTGTGATAATATGTGGAGTTACTTCACTTTTCTTTTCAAAAGCAGTGCAGAAAATACATTTTCTTCTTATTTTCTTACAGCTGGCACTGTATGTGCTGTCATTCCTGGAACCCAGGGACCTTCTGCAGGCAGCCCAGACATGTCGTTACTGGAGAATTCTGGCTGAAGATAATCTTCTCTGGAGAGAGAAATGCAAAGAGGAGGGTAAGGCTGAGCAAAAAGATGGATATAATGGTCGAAGTGTTGCTATCATAAAAAGTGCAGTTCATTTACATAATAAGCTTAAAGTTTTACAAAGGCAATTCGTGTGACTTTAGATTTAGTGCTAGTTATGCTTTGAGCTACATGGTTTGTATCTCTGTTGAAAGTAGGAAGCAGAAATAATCCATGGAGTGCTAGAAATGAAACTAGAGTTTAGGTTTGAATGCCCTATTTATACCAGTTGTATGTTTTTAGAAAATAATTGGGTTTGCTTTTTTAAAGGTTATTATACAACCAGAGGAAATGAGAGCTGAGATGTAAAAATGGTATAGTCTTGCAGTTTGTGACACAGAGGAAAAACTGTTTGGTCAGTAGAAGGGCTGCTGTAATTTCACGTCACTTGTAGGAAAAATAACATAGAAGTGACACGTGGTAGTGAGAGAAGTGCTAACAGGATTACTTAGAGAGGGACATGCAGCCTTTTAGTGACACAGATATTATCCTGCTCTTGCCAGAAGATAAGGTGGTTCAGCAGTAATATGAATTGGGGGGGGAAAAAAGATTCCCAGGAAAGTAGCCATGTATTTATGCACATGAAGGATGTGCACAAAGCTTTTATTTTTAAGGAGCATTATATGAACAAGGAGTTTGTTCTGGGGAGCAGAGGACGTGCATGTGGTCACTCTTAGATACAGGCAAACACAGGGCCATGTCCAGACTGTATGGAGCAAGGACTTGTGAGAGCTCAATGCAAAGACTTCAAAAAACATGGCAATGTCAGTGTAGCTGCCTTTTTGTAAAGGCACCTAAATTAATTTGTTTTCTTGTGCGATGGGTTTCTAAACTCTTAAATCTCCTCTAAAGATTCTCCCCTTAAAAAATTTAAGTGAAAATGCATCAAGAGGGCAGAATGAGAAAAAAAGAGAAGGTTGAAAAGGGAACGAGCCAACATTTGTGAGCTTACGAGTAAGAAAGACTAAATACGTCCAGGCAGGAGAGCACAGACAGACAGGTCAGTATTGCAGCCTGGTTGGCCTCAGTGAGCTGCTCAGTAACGTGAGGGAGCCGTTAATTCAAGACTTGCAGACAGAGACACCAGAGACGGGGCTAAAGGCAGAGGAGTGAAATCCACGTATTGGCAAGAGGCAAGACTACTGCCAGTAATGAGATGCGGTGGAGAGAGGAGCTGCATAGAAAAAAGAGCAGGGTGAGAGAATTGTAAAAAAAGCTGTATCTGTAGTAGTAAGGCTAAAACAAAGCACTACTGCTTAAGTGTCAACTCAGAAAGGGCATAGCTATACTTAAACTCCAGCCAGGAGAGAACAATGCCAAAAGCACTCAGCCTTTCAAATCAAGAAAGTAATTAATACAAGGAGTCACAGTCATCTTAAAGGCAATGAAGATGGGTGACCATAGTGGAGAACCATAGACAGAAAGGTTTAATTCTTGAGCTGTTCCAAAATGAGCATATGAGTGGTTATGGAGCTTTTTGGCAATACCCATTTGTAGAAGGCAATATTCTGCTGCATTGCCTTGGAAAGGGGTATCCAAAACCAAGCTAGTAGGTTACCAGCAAGGAATAATGAACTAGAGCATTTTCAGCCATGATTATGGTAATGATTATGCTGAATCAACAAGGACAGATGCAGAATAACTCGCTGAGGAGCAGGGCAGTGTCCCTGACACACAAAGAGTGCCATGGGGGAGGTTCTTAGGTCTCTGCTGAATTTAATGTCTGGGGTCACCGTAAAGGTTTGGGAGGGAATGTGTTTTCTGTGGGGTAAGCTCATCTCTTCCCGTCCCCATCCTTTTTTCTAAATCCATTTTAGGTATTGATGAACCATTGCATATCAAGAGGAGGAAAGTAATAAAACCAGGCTTTATACACAGTCCGTGGAAAAGCGCCTACATTAGACAACACAGGATTGATACCAACTGGCGGCGAGGAGAACTTAAATCGCCTAAGGTAAGGTTCTGAGCTCTCTGCACGGTGCCATGAACAAAGCTGGATCAACTCGTAGATTGTTTTTTTTCCTTTGGACACACCAGACTACCCATGCACAAAAAGCAGTGTATTGCTACAGAAACAAATAATTTGTATTTTAGCTTACCCTGGGTTTAAATTATGTTCTGAGCACCATATTGGCAAATCAAAGTGTTATTCTTCAGTACAGCAGAATTCTTTCCCTACAGGAATTTCTGTACCATTTTATGAATTCCTATAAATATGCCAGTCTCTTTGAGACAGATAATCTCAGAAACTTGATTGGAAATACTTATATTTAAACATAGAGACACATATATATTATATGTATGTATTTGTACAGCTGAGCTATGTTGCAACATAAAAATACTCCACAACTATTCTGTGATTAATTCATACTTTATTTTTAAATATATTCTTCTAAATTGAGCAGCACAAGACAGTAACTTCATTCCATGTTAAGTTTGCTAAATATTGAAATTCTTTTAATGACATTTATATGTTATCATTATATCTTTTCCAATATGGAGATATGAAGCAGTATTTCAAATCTTTTGTAAATAAAGTAGCAACTGTCTAATCTATCATGGTATTGAACAAGCACTCAGAAATATGAAGGAAACCCATATTCGTGGCCTTTTAAGGTTTTAAGGTAATTTACCTGCTTTCTTAATTACTGTACAACAAAATAATAAAAATAAGAACAAAATAATTCCCATGGAAAACCTATGGCTATATCCTGCTGTTTATTTGGCCGTGACTTATGTGCATCTCTGGCAACGGTTTTGTATTTCTTGCCTTGATATGCCACATCAAGTTATCTTGGAATTATTATTAAAATTACAGCCTCTGGCATTACCCAAATGCCATTTCATTTCAATGAACATATTGAAAAATGCTCAGATATCCTAAATAAAAAATTCTTCATCCTATGTATTCTGATAAGGATTATTTTTGCTGTATTGCAATAAAAGATACAGAATTTTTCCAAAATCAAATATTGAAAATCCCACCTCTATAAAGCAACATTCCAATCCACATTCCCAACTCGTTAAATTGTTGCTTTTGTTTGTATTTAATTGAGTTAATGGTCTTCCAGTTTTTTTACTTTGGTGCTACCTGGCATTTAACACAATTCAATGCTTCACTGGTAAGGGAAAAAAATAGACGTAGTCAGCCTTGACCACTGAAATACAAATACTCAGCAAATAATAGAGCCCCATCCTTTTTTGTTCAAAATTGAAACAAAAGGTAACAGTAACTCAACTGAAAAATAAAGAGATGGAATAACTGTAGAGGAATAGAGCAATGTTCAGTTACTAATTCAGGCTACTTTTGTTAGAGATTTTCCCTGTTACTTTTAGGAGGCTTACAGTAGCTGTAGTGTGCTTGCTAAGCAATGCAGCATCACTCCATGGAAGGAGGAAAACACCTTCTTTGGTCCCAGCTGGCGGTAAATTAGACTTGACACATGGGATTAAGGGGCCTTATTATTACCGAAGCAACTCTAGCATTTTGTAATTTATGAATCAGAGGAGCATTTTGTCTCTTCTGCTTCTCTCTAATCTGCCGCATTAAATTGTGACTGTACGTTTTCGTGTTCTTCATTGTCAGGTGCTCAAAGGGCACGATGACCACGTGATCACGTGCCTGCAGTTCTGCGGGAACCGGATCGTGAGCGGCTCTGATGACAACACGCTGAAAGTGTGGTCAGCGGTTACAGGCAAGGTAATTTGGCAGCTTTGCTGAATTCCTGAGGAAATGAGCTACAGGTAGAGCACTGGCACATCAAAAATGCTGCTGTGCCATCAGACCACTTTGCAGGGTGGCCTTTAGCACTGTCTGGGGCAAGAGTCGGAAGAAGTAAACGTGTGGGTTGCCTTTTCCCACACAGAAACTTGTCCAGTTCAAAAAAGTCACCTTGATGGGAAATTGCAATGCTGCTCATGTTACGATTGGCATATATCCTTGTTCTCTTGGCAATTCTGCTATTCTTGTGGAGTCATTTGTGACATGGATTTTAAAGAATTTGGACAGATACATTACTTTATCTTCCTTAAAGCTTAATTTAGGCTGCATTTACCCCTCTAGATCCCCCTTTCTCACTTGTTTTCTAGCATTCTTTCTATTGTTTTCAAGTTTTTGAAATGAGGTGTTTGTTTTACTGGTTGTAATTTCAAATACAGAGTTTGTTTTTTCATTCTAAGCTACTATATTGCTGAACCACAAAAAAAAAATTAACTTGCTTTAGGTTTAAATATTTCCTATTAAATTAGATCCAGATCAGGCAGGAATTTAATAAGCTTCAATAATTTAATTTTGGCTTAGAGAAGCAAACCAGTATGCACAATCAGAAAGATAGTACTGAACATTACACTCACGTTAGAACATCATGGCTACTCAGCCCACAGGTTTTTTGTTTTGAGGTGACTGACTGACTATGCTCCAAGGATGTAGAAAAGGCCTTGGGAAAACAGAACGTTTTCCTTCTAGACTGGTGTTGTGTGTACTTATCTTGGTTTTAATGGTACAGGTAACAACAAGACAGCTACTGAGGGTAACATGTTTAAGATGTAAAAGGTATCCACTTCATAATGTTGAAGCTGAGTGTATTAAACATTTGTCATTGCATGCCCGGAAGATCCTTGAAGGGATTGTTAATACTACTGTGGGTAAGAATAAAATTAAGAGCCATAGGCAGCCTCACCCTGCTGCTGTTGGCTTCTCTACAACAAACTGTCTAATGAAGGATCTCATAAAGAAATTTACATTTTTTTTTAATTGAAAAGGGCAACCTAAACACAAATGAAAAATACTTTCTTTGTACATGTCATAGTCCCAAAAGCAAAATGATCCTTTAAATATATAAAATTGAGCACAGTAGCATGACTTAACAATTATTGTTCAGTAATTTTTTGAAAGTAATTACAAAACCTGGTGTGACTATTTACTCTAAACCTTTAAGAGAGCCAGGAATTGTGTATGAAAAATGGAAACATGCTGTATCAGCCCTCCTGCTTACTGATGCTGAAGAATTAATAAAATAAAAAAAACCCTAAAGGTTGGTTTGTGCAAATGAACATGACTGAATAATTCCCTTGACAGATGTAAAGCCCAAAATAAGGATTCTGTGTTCTTACTGCTTTAGCAGGATGATTTCTTAAAATATGAGCACATTGGTTGAAATAAGAAAAAAAGAACTGTAAAAGTGAATAACAGCTATGAACTGAAAAAGATGGATTTGATAGCAGTGAATTAAGCAAGGAGCCAGGAATTGCAGAAGACTAGTTAAAAAACTGTTAAAGAACAGGAAATCTATCTAAGCAGAAAGAACAGGATATTAACAATAGGAATTAGTATACTGTCACTGATGCAGAAAAATACTTTAGGAGAAGATTCATGTGATGGAAATACAGCATGCAGTGATAATAGAACATTTCAGCAGAAACTCACAAGGATGTTAAACAACAACTACCAAATTATGGGGTTTTTTTATTACAGTTAATCCAGATAATCTTTGATGATTTTTTTTTCCTAAAGTAACCTGTGAGGTAAAATTAGCACTTTTTCAAAAGGTATGAGGACAAGAAGATCCAGGACAGGACAGTTAGAAAGCTAAAATGTGTCAATGTTTACATGGAGTAAACTGAAAGACTGGGTATTTAGGATACATTATCTCAGGTAAAAAATATTGGACTACATCAAGAGGAGTCAACTAACAGTTAAAGGAAGGCCATGGCAATTAATGCCACTTAGCATTGGATTACAGAAAAAGATACCCTCAAACTGCCTTGACCTCTTTTCTTGTGCAGTTACAGGTTTGACTGATAAAAATAATAGTGCAGAAGTAGATGGCTGTGTGCACTGCAAGACTGTATCCCCACGACAGAACCAAAGAAAATAGAATAATGCAAAAATCAACATGGCACATATTTAAATGGGTTAGAAAGTGGGTAATTATAGATATCACGTTGTTAAAGTAAATGCAGAATCTTCATGAAGTATCTTTCTAGAAGAGTCTTGCATGGATCTTTCCTCGTCTGTGCTAATTACCATTTATTGCTGCCTGGTGAGCAAGTGTATATAGTCATTATTTGTAAGGAAAACAGGCTGAGAGACAGAGACAAGTCATTGTTCCAGGACGACGGGGGTTTTATAGAAGTAGGTGTGAGCAAACACTGTCTGTACATGGTGAGAAATCATGTCATACATTTGGGATCAAAGAAGGTAGGCTGTGCTTATGTAGTGTGGGATCCTCTCCTGGGCAACAGTAGACTCTGAAAAAGGTTTGAGACACGATTTTTTGGCACGATTGATGCTGTAGCTGAGGCTTACAGAGTGGGATGTCTCTTGGATAAAGAAACAGAAAAATACAACAAAAGTATATGGTTTATAGATTGATGGTAAAACTACCAAGTGAATGCTCTCTCCACTTCCAACACACTTCAAAAAGCTATTGGAAATCCTGCAGTGACTCAGAAAAGTGCCAGGAAAACAACTCCAGGCTGCAAAACGTGCCCTTGTATTGAGAAATTTGGAAATAGGGTTTAGTTTGTCAAGGGGAAGATTATAGGGAAAATTCCTTATAGTTAAAGTGAACAATTGAGAGAAATTTGATGAGTATTTTGTAAAAGTGGAATTTTTTTTTTTCCAATCAGAAAGCAGTCTCCAGGGGTATTCTGGCTCTTACTATAAGAGCCAACTGTTACTTCCAAGATTGCTTTTTCTTAGTTTCCATTCAACTCTGTCAAAAAAGGTAAACTAAGGAAAATGTTTATTTTCAGTGTCTGAGAACACTGGTTGGGCACACAGGCGGAGTCTGGTCATCACAAATGAGGGACAATATCATCATCAGTGGATCTACAGACAGAACGCTGAAGGTTTGGAACGCTGAGACTGGTGAATGCATACACACCTTGTACGGTCACACCTCCACCGTGCGCTGCATGCATCTCCACGAGAAAAGGTACGGCTTTGTCCAGAGCTACGGCCACCGCTTCACCTGTAACTCACACGTTTGTGTTCACAGAAAATGCTCTTAAACTTGGGTGCCTCATCCAGCACTGAGTGAAACACAAACCAGGCGAAACACAAATCAACACGAGGGAGGAGATGATTAATAGAAGCAAAGGCATAAGGATACTAAATGAAGAACTGAAAATTGAGTCATGTACTTCAAAAAGTCACATTCTGCGTTATTTCAAAGCTAATTCTTTGTTAAACTGTGCTCCAGTCTCCCACACTGAGTAATTCCTCCTTTTGTCAGTGCTACAAACTTTTACTCATTTTAAACAAATGACTTTTGAAGCATTGTCACTGCAGTATTTTATTTGAATTTTAACTGATTATAACAGAATATTTGCAATAGTAAACCACGTCTTGATTCAACAAACATTTGCAAAGCTCTGTTACTTGACTGTGGTATGGAGGTATTGACAGAGAGCTTGTTGGTGCATTTCTTTTTTGTAGAATGATGAGTTTTTTCCCCTTATAAATTCCATTAATATTAATTCCTTCTCATTTCTGTTCCTGCCTAAAAAAAGCTTTTAATAGTATAAATTGGAAAAAAAAAAAAAGTCAAGCAGAATAACTGTTACTTTACTAAAACTTCTAAAGATCTTTATTTAATTGTTACAATTAGTTAATTCAGTCATTAAAACAGAATGCTCATAGCACTGGCTGGAGCTTAGCATGTTCATGAGCTTTCATAGATAGATACAACAGTCCACAGAATTATGGCATCATTTTGCTGTTCAGGAACGAAGTGGCTTTTTAAATACTGATTGCTAATTATATCAAATAGACATATCCTGAGGAGGTAAGTAGAGCAAGGAAGAAGAACACTCTGGTCATTTGAGACCTTAATAAATGTCATGCCAAGCCTGATCTTCAGTGGCTGGTGGACTAATGCTATCTAATGTCCCAAATTACGACTCATAACTGATGTATACCCAAGTGTAATTGTTTTAATACTTTAATGTCCAATGCTAAGTACAGGAGGGGTTTTTCTTTTTCCTCCAGAGTGGTCAGTGGATCTCGAGATGCTACGCTGAGAGTTTGGGACATAGAGACGGGCCAGTGTTTACACGTTCTGATGGGCCACGTAGCTGCAGTTCGGTGCGTTCAATATGATGGCAGAAGGGTTGTAAGTGGTGCATATGATTTTATGGTCAAAGTGTGGGATCCAGAGACAGAGACCTGTCTGCACACACTGCAAGGGCATACTAACAGAGTCTACTCGTTACAGGTATGTGATTTTCATCTGCTGCCTTAGTTTCCTTAAGTAACATTTAAAGTCAGTTTATTTCACCTTGTTTATTAAATTGTGGGTACTTACTCCAGAATTATACAGACCATGGGAATATAGAGGCATCTGTGATAAGCCCCTCTTTCATTTTGTTACACTAGATACGTGTTGTTTGCATTTAGAAACTGAGATGTTTTAGAGTAGAATTTTTTTTTTAAAGGACCCAGTACAATAAAGCCCAAATCTTTATATCACCAAGTTACGTTGTTTTGTTGGTAGATGCTGGTTGTTTGGTTGGGATTTTTTTTTAAATCTTGCATGTATTATGGAGCTATGTTTTTGCTTTACCCAAGAAATTCTAAACTTACTGCCTTAAATAAATCAAAGGATATAGTAATTGACAATTTCAAAAAAACCCCATTGTATTAATGTTCTGAGTCACGGAGATCTGTTTATCCTCATTTTCTAGTCCTGTCTTCCAGTTCCAAACTATAATTCGCAGTAAGGCTGAACTTAAGATTTTAGATCCTGTGTAAAACTCCAGCCTTCTGCTTCCTCTTTTCTGAGTAGGGGCAGATGGACAGCTGTGAGGCTTTTTCAACAGAAATGTGTTAATGTAGGTGCAGGTTATTACGCTGCTGCATCTCTCTTGCCTACCAGTTACCCACAAAGCTGGCAAAGATACACACAGACCTTATGTCTCAGGTCTTCTTACCTCTACTAACCAAAAAAAACCCTTATTCATTCATAGAGTCAAAGCATCACTTCCAGGCATTGAGAGGCGAAAGAAATTAATTTCATGCTTGTGCCTGTTCTCACCACAATCTGGCAGGACTTGAAAAAGAAATTAACAAAGACAGTTCAAAATTGGGAAATGGCATTCAACATGTAACTGCTCTGGTTTGTGGCTCAGAAAATGAAGCTCAGTGCTAGAGACATTTTTCATAAAGTGTGTATTTCATAACATGTATCTCACCATAATATATTACATATGAACAAAGTACCTAATTGGTTTCCTTTCTCAAAAATCTGTAGCAAAATTTATCAAAATCTACAGCCATTCCCTTACATTGATATGATGAGGAGCCTTCTCTAGACAAGCAGCAAAGCAAGTTAAAAATGCTGTGCTACCTACCTATCTCTCAAAAATATTCTGAAGATTCCATTTCATATAGGGCAGTTTGGGAACAGTAGATGTTATTCTGCCTTATCTTCACCAGCAACTCTTGTTTTGGCTTATGAATATTTATGTCTTGCTCTGCTACTGTAGTAATAATGGATCAAATAATTGGGTTGTGTTACACACCGATATGTTCTGAAACTAACGGGAGAGGGGTGAGGGAAGGCAGGCTGGAGACTACAGGTGTTTACAGTTTTGAACAGAAAGATTCTTTAAAATTGCCTGGTGGACCCTGCCCTTTGGCCTGCAATCGCCCCAAACAGTAGAACTCCCATAAATAAACTAATCAGGTGGAATAAGCCAGTCCTCCCTCCCTATCCGTGCTCTATGGCAGGTTCTGTTACACCTTGATATTTCCCCATTTGTAGACCTTATGCACCAGTTGAAGACTACTGAGCATGTTGACTTTTCTTTCTCTGCTATCTTTGTTTGAAGTAATCCACAGATTCTGATGGTTCATGTGTAGCAGTTGATCCAAACCATTGCTTCCCTGTTACAACATCATTTTGTCTTTATGCCCAGCCTTAAAGCTCGCTTTCTGAATACCTTATGTACATGGAATGCAATTAGTTTGTGGGAAAGGGGAAAAGAATTCAAAATTTGTTACATCAGTCTGGTTTAGTTCTTTTTAGGAAAGAAAAACGTTCTGTAGTGTTTCCACCCAAGTCTGCTAGGCTGCTTGGCACTCCTCATCTTTTTATCTGAACTCAAATTAGTTCACATCCACTTTTGAAAACAGGGAGCCCAAAACAGAGTCCAGTCAAAGTGCTTACTGGAAGTGAAAAGTTATTTTATATGTGTTACATTGAAATATCAGAAGGTCTTTTTTAGTATATTTTCATCAGAAATGGAATGCATACAGCAGATAAGCAGTCTGTATGTGCCAGTTGTTCTGTATATTCTTTTGAACCTAGGTGCCATGCTCAATCATGTTTGACTGCAGAGATCTAACATTAGTTTTCTGCAGGTTTTATAAAAAGAAACAGCTTCAGATAGTCGAGTTCCCTTAACTGGCTTGGTTCTTTGCAGTTATCAGGTACCAGTCAGTCCACATGGACAAGTAGTGTCATATTGCCTTAAACATAACAGTCATGCCCAACCTTCCTTCTCTCAAGTTGCAGCTGTACCTTTATTCATTCCCCTCCAAACTCAGATCTTCACAGTTTTTACTCGGCTTCTACACTGTTTGCTTTGGGTCGGTTCTGCTGTTTCAAATGTCACCCAAATCCTAATGAAAATAGTAAATACCACACCCCTCCGGAACTCTTTTCTGATATCTCCAATAGTACTGTGAACAGAGTTCTGAATGGAATAGTATCCCTGTCTCAAATTTGCCTCCCTCTTTGTGAAAATACAGCGAAGACATTTGCTGTTTCACGTGGCTTTTTATTCTGTTAAAGAAAAAAAACCCATATTGTTTAAGATAATTTTCCAAAAAATGCTGCTACTTACTGCATTACTAAGGGCTTAAAAGTTCCTTCTGGAAACTGAAGTTATTGAAGTGATTGATCCATAATTCCTCATCTTCCATCATCCTCTCCTTCAGTAAAGAAAGGAATTGTATTTGCCATCTGAAGCTTGTCTGTCTTCCCTGGGTTCTCAAAGATAGCAGCAGATGTCTCTGAGATTGTCTTAAAACAACTTGCCTTATGTGATTTTTTCCCCCCCATTCTAGCAAAAGCGTGTGCTCAGTTGTTAGTGGTGTTAGTGCTGTGAGCCTACACTCAGATGGCTGAGGACTGAAGCAAAGAAAGTTAAATAGCTGGCCTCACTTGGTGTTTCCTTCCTGCTGTGGATAAATGAGCTTTTTTTTTTGTTTGTGTGTTTGTTTTTGGCCTTCCTTGTGGTATGTTTTTTTGGTTTTGGTTGGGGTTTTTTTTTATAGAATAGTATAATAAGTCTTGCTAGTTTTATCTTGTTCTGTGCCCTGCCTTTCTGGTTTTGTCCCAGTGGGCTCTTTTATACAGATCTATTGATCTAGTTTCTACTTTTTGTACAATTCCTTGTGCGTTAGCCAAGTGGGTCTTGGTAATTTACTACACTTCCTATCTTTACTTCACACAAGGATAGTTTGTGCCTTTAAGAAAGTGCCAACTATCCTGAACTCTTCTTCCCCTCAGAGAATAGATATATAAAAACCTCATGGGAAGAAAGTCTTTTTTTTTTTTTTTTTTAAGTATTCCTCCTTGAAGCCCACTGGTTTTATTCTACTGCTTTTTTCCCTTTTTGAGGACTCTTATGTCATTCTCACTGTAACTCGGGTTACTTTCTACCTTTCTGTTCTCTACATGTTTAGTCCTCTTGGTCAAAAGTGTTTCATATCTTAGCCTTTATGCCTTTCCCTACAATGACTAGAGAGTTAAAAGTTCCTTACTGTACACAATTAGGATTATAAAATGTCTAAACCCCACATTTTTCCATTACATTCCTTCCATTTTTCTCTGTTTTGACTTCTGGGTGGATGATTCTGTACTAATGTTGTTGCCCTTCTCCGGCTGAAACTCCCTCTGACTTGTGAAAAGCAGAGTTGCCTTGTTAATGTCTGTATTAGGAAACCTAGGTTCTCTTACTGTTGCACACTGGAGTCAGGATTCTGCTGTGTTTAAAGGAGTTGTATTACATTTAAAAGACCAAGTGGTTCAGAGTTTCTTTTTGAACCATGTACTTGATAGCCCATATGTTTACATCAGGAAATTACACTAACCATAAGTCCCTGGTATCAAACTCTGGTATCAAACGTGGCCATCTCTACTTAGACTGAATTCTTACTTTGTAATGCAGTTACCAAATATATACAGTATCTCACCTTGCATTTAGTGAATTAAATGCTTAATAGCCTTCTTTGTTAGATCCTAATATAATTGTTTGTAATAGATTTACCTTTCTTGTAGTTTGATGGTATCCATGTGGTGAGTGGATCTCTTGACACTTCCATCCGAGTTTGGGATGTGGAGACAGGCAACTGCATTCACACTCTGACAGGCCACCAGTCACTCACAAGTGGAATGGAACTCAAGGACAATATACTTGTGTCTGGGAATGCCGATTCTACGGTCAAAATCTGGGACATTAAAACAGGACAATGTTTACAGACATTGCAAGGTAAGCTTAAACTACCTTCATGTAAATCAAGCAGCCTGCAATAATCTGTGCTGCAGATTCTAATAAAAAAAACCCTTAAAAATAATTACATGCAAAGAAGCAAGCACTGACCACTTACAGCTGAAATACTTTTCTGATGACAGTTGTATGATCCTTTTCTGAACTAGAAGAACAAAATTTATTTAATCTAATCTATTCAAATCACTTGCCTATTATGAAAGGCAGATGGTCTGGACTGATAGCAATTTGCTATGGGTATATTAGCCTAATAAGCCACAGAAATATGTAGGAAATTACATCTCAAAACAGTCAGTCAATGTATTTACTTAGGGGTCACTTGCATGTTTCAAAGCCTACTGATTAATTGGATGGGGAGGCAAAATACACTGTCTGTTGCAATAAAACAGGAGACGCAAGTGGAAGATGTTTTCTTTATTTCAGTAAGACAAAAGCCTCTTCTTTCCATTGTGACAGTTGCCACTCAGGCATCATGCACACGAACTCATGGTTTTGTTTCTCCCCACAAAAAAGATCTTATATCGTTCCCATATCTCATATGCAGCATCACTGGCTGGAGCAGAAAATTAAATTTCCCTGTAAAACAAACTCTGCTGTTTTAACAGTATCTATTTATGTGTCAGTGTATAACTGTCAATATTTACTGATGGAGTAATCTCATAAAAGCTCTTCAAAGGAGCTTGGAGATGAACTCTTACAGCAATCACCTCACTCTAGATGGCTAAGTTCATATTCATGAATGTCCAAGAGCACATTTGCCCTACTGTTTGTATACAACACAATGAGGTCACTGAAACAAAGAAGGAAATTCTGGGGAATTTTTCTATACCTGCCTTCACTTTTTGAAACTATGGCAGGGCTTCTGTACCTTTTAACGTACAAAACCAGGAGTTACAATAGATAGTTCTATAATAGTTGTAATAGATAAAAACAATTATGTGCAAATAGCTAGGTGTTTATTCTAGATGCAGTGCTGTCTGCCATTGCTTTCTAATTAATTACAAATAAAAATGCTTCTGTTTGCTCTTACAGGTCCCAACAAGCATCAGAGTGCTGTGACCTGTTTACAGTTCAACAAGAACTTTGTAATTACCAGCTCAGATGATGGGACTGTAAAACTTTGGGACTTGAAAACGGGTGAATTTATCCGAAATCTAGTCACATTGGAGAGTGGGGGAAGTGGAGGCGTCGTGTGGCGAATCAGAGCTTCTAACACAAAGCTGGTGTGTGCGGTTGGGAGCCGCAACGGGACTGAGGAAACAAAGCTGCTGGTGTTGGACTTTGACGTCGATATGAAGTGAAGGGCAGAAAGATGAATTTGTCCAAACGTGTAGACGATGTTCTCCTTTCCCTCCCCCCTGAAAAAAAAAAAAAAAAAAAAAAAAAAAAAAAAAAAAAGGAAAAAATCCCTTGTCCTTGGTGGTGCAGGATGTTGCCTTGGGGCAACAGATCCTAAAGACCTACAGACTACGAAGGAGAAGACAAAGATGACAAACTGTAACTGACAAGAGAGGCTTTTGCTGTCTCGTCACATAAAAAGGCTACACTTACGACCGGGGCAGCTTTGCAAAAATCCAACTTTTGAAATGAAACCAGGTGCAATTAATTTCTTTACTTTCCTCCAACTGCTCCTTGAGCAATTTGGAGTGAAAAAAAAAAAAAAAAAAGTTACAGTTCTTGTTAACAAATTATTTTACCACAAAGATCTTGAAATCAGCTGCACAAGCGAGCCTGCTCGTGCACCCCTGGGCCACCCTGGGTCCCGGCAGCCCCTCCGAGCAACGCGCTGTCCCTTAGCCCCGCTCTGAGCAGGGGGTTGGACTGGACCTCCAAAGTCCCTTCCAACCTCTGCAATGAAAAAAACAAACAAAAACAAAAACAAGGAGTCCATTCCTGGTGTGGAAAAGCTAAAATATTACTGTGAATTGTTTTGTACAGTTTTATCAGAGCTTTTTCTTTTTTTTCTTTTATTCCTCTTTTTTTTTTGCCAACCATTGCCAATGTCAATCACAGTATTAGCCTCTGTTTAATCTATTTACTGTTGCTTCCATCTACACTCTTCAACGCATAAGTTGCTCTGAGGTGGCAAGTTGTCCTGGGTTCTGAGAGTCCTCTGATGGATTTAATTCGCAATGCTGGTGCTAGAAGTAGGTCTTCAATTACGGGATTGTTGTCCCACCCCTGTACTGTATTCCCAGTGGCCAAACTTATTTATGCTGCTAAATGAAAGAAAGAAAAGCAAATTATTTTTTTTTATTTTTTTTTCTGCTGTGACGTTTTAGTCCCAGACTGAATTCCAAATTTGCTCTAGTTTGGTTACAGAAAAAGACTTTTTGCCACTGAAACTTGAGCCAACTGTGCCTCTAAGAGGCTGAGAGTGGAAGAGTTTCAGACAATTAAGAGTGAAGTTTGCCTGCAAATAAAGAATTGAGTGTGTGTGCAAAGCTTATTTTCTTTTTTCTGGGCAAAAATTAAAACACATTCCTTGGAACAAAGCTATTGCAGCCTGTTCTGTGGGGAAATTTTTCTTTGTGAGGGCTGTGGTGAATGGAATGAACATACATTAAAAAAACTGACAAAATTTTTTAAAAATATTATAAAATACAAAAATTAAAATAAAGTTGCTGGTCAGTCTTAGTGTTTTACAGTATTTGAGAAAAAAACACAACTGTTACAGTTATTGCTGGGAGGAACTGACAGAGCAAAAACTTAGGTTTTTGTAAAGATGTCACATGCAAACAAAATGAGAAACGAGAGTCAAATGGTTTGCCTCATTCTCCAAGAGCCACAACTCAAGCTGAACTGTGAAAGTGGTTTAACACTGTATCCTAGGCGATCTTTTTTCCTCCTTTTTTTTTGTTTTGTTTTTGTTTTATTTATAGTCTGATTTAAAACAATCAGATTCCAGTTGGTTAATTTTAGTTATGTAACAACCTGACATGATGGAGGAAAACAACCTTTAAAGGGATTGTGTCTATGGTTTGATTCACTTAGAAATTTTATTTTCTTATAACTTAAGTGCAATAAAATGTGTTTTTTCATGTTAGTATGTCTTTTTATTATTATTATTATTATTTTCTAGTTGTTAATTTAATGTCATGTATCCTATAAAGGGTAAAGCAGGTCAAGTTGCTCAGCTTACTGGTAGATGCTAAAATATGTCGCAGGACTTTTTATATAACCCTTCCACAAACAGGTGCGCAAGTGTCCTCTCCTTCAGTTGCCATACAGGATTTGTCACGTGGGTTTCCCCAAACGTGCAGGAAAGACATTAGCTCCCTATCACTAAGAATGTGTCAGGACTTTACTCTGGAGGGAGTTAGCTATAAAAAGCTGCTCAAGTACGTAAAAAACTTCTTCTGATAGCATCTTGTTACTGCATCTTAAATTGAAACTTGATGTTTATTATTTGTGGATTTCAATCAGTTGATTACATTTGACAGCAAAGAATAAATGCATAAATACAACTAAAATCAAAGGTGGGATTGTTGGAGAGCTTGAAATAAAGCTTATGACAAGAGAAAAAAAAAAAACAAAAAACATCATTCCACATCAGTCCAACAGCAGTTTTATCAGTGCCCTGAAACCAAGGTAAGTCATCATCTGTCTCAGAAACTTAGCACTTGAGTGTCAGTTTCTCTCTCAAATCTCCTTGACCAAAATCATTGTTTTCTTCTGTGTAAGCTTTTCTGTCAGGGCATAGCATTTGCTTGTTTGTGACAGTTTTTCCCTGTGGAAAGCTGTCATTAAAGAAAACCAAACCAAAACATTAGAAAATACATGGCTGGAAAAGAAAAATATTTATATACTTACACATCTATGACTGTGTGCTACTGAAATGTAGTTCCAATCCCTACATTATGCAAAACAACCAATGGTGAAGGATCATGCTTCCATCTGGCCTCTAGAGATTAAAAAGCCATCCGAACTGACTGAGCAGCTCCAAATTGTAAAAATCTGTTCAGTGAGTTAGTGCTTAAGGACAAAACCCTTGCAGCAAGCACTGACTATATAGAAGCTATGATTGTCTTGGTATTTATGTAAAAACAATTAAAGAGCTAATCCTTTCCTAAAATGACAGTGAAAGATTGCCAGGACTTTGTTTTGTTCTGCTGAGAATGCAGGCCAAGACTGAGCCCCCCTGATAAGAGAAGGTGCGTCAGTGTGGGCTGAAGTACTTGTGAGAGGGGATGGAAGAAAGAGGATAAAAATATGAATATTTAATGCAGGGAACAGAGCAATAGCTTTTAAGATTATGTAATTTTCTCCCCGTGATTTGTAGAAATTGCAACAACGTGTTTTCAAAGAGCAAAGGCACTGGCCTGATGGTGCAGGAGAATGAGAGATTTATGAGTAATGCGCTGGAGGGCAGAAATACAAATCGGGGCGGAAGAGTGAAATGACAGAAGAGGAAAACTAGCAAATCCAAATCAGTTCAAGGTGTACAATCAGTTCAAGTACACTTCAAGCAGCCAATATGACCAGGAGGAAAATGTGCTTAACCAGAATTGAGAAGTTTTCTGGTTGACAGTAGTTCCAACACTATCTTATGTTCAAATTAACACAGAATAACTTCAACTTGTTAAGCAAACCTTCTTTCATCACAGATTTATGTTCAAAAAAATGACTGGCTGCAAAGTCAAGATATGATTGACTGTCACATTAAATACAAAAACCAACACAGTATTTAAAAAAGCTTTTTCCTTTCAGTAAAACAACTTCACAAAGTTAATTGTGTTAGCGCTTCAGACTTCTAGTTATGTGAAGTCTGTTTAGGTTTGTAAGAGTTGCTCACTGAGCTATCGGAACAACATAGCTCAGTGAGCAGAAATTCCTTCATTTAAGTGACAGCATTTCAGAGATAGGCCTGCAGTAAACACACCACGAGTAAGAAACTGTTCGAGCACCTTTTCTTTACAGTCTCCTTATTACCCCCTTTTGCTGACGTACCCACTGTAACACAGTTCACTTACTATGAGGTCTTCAGTTTGGCAGCACGTGCTCCAAGTGAGACTTTAGGAAGCATCTTCATTCTGTGTAATTAAATTTTGATTTTAAGGTGGATGGAGTGTTTGGGTTTTTTTTAAACAAAAGCATTTAAGAGTACTAGTATAAGACTATAACAGCTTTATGTTCTCAATACACAGGCACTTCTTGAATCCAGTGGCTTAGTCATCATAGGCTATGTCAAAATAACTGCAGTTATCCTACAGAGATAACAGCAGTAGTGTTCTGATGTCTCTACCCTCTGGTTTTCATGCTGATTCCCCTCTTTCTTTTAGTTTTAGCCCCAGAAAGAGCTTCCGTATTTTCTCTCGTATCTGAAACCAAGTCAACAGTATTAACATTTTCTTTTATTAGGTGTTAATTCTTGGTGGACCTTGATTATATCTAACAGTAAGTCAGAATTAGTTTGCCACTTTCTCCAAAAGCCTGTTTCTATGGTCTCAATTACTTACTTGAGAGACAGGATCAGACATTTAACAGCTGTGTCCACATCAGTTTGTAGTTCAGATCAGCAGCTTTCCCAACAGAACACACTGGTGCCTCGGAGCCCACAAACAGGATTCCTGCAGGGTGTAACTAAATCTGAAGCAGCTCTCTGGGAGCACACCCCAGGCATTCAAGCCACTAGAGGAGAATGTGAAACCAAACCAAGACTAGTCTAACACCTCAAAAATACATTCGTGTGGACATTAAGTCTTCAGGACAGTTCTGCTGCTACTACACAGCAGTAATGGCTGGTTTGAGTATAACCATCAGCCAAATCCTCTCCCACAGCACCCCTGGCTCCTCATTCACAATCAGCAACCAGCACCCATCTAAACAAAATCTGCCAACTTCGAAATTGTTGCCAGAGAAAAAAGTTCAGGTGCCCTCAACTCTTTCAGCCCTCAACTCTTGTCAACCTGCTTATGAACAGGTTCTTCTGATCAGCTTATGGAATCCAATTAAAAAGAAATACAAATCTTTCAGAATCAGTCTGGCCAAAGTTTCCTACCAGTAAGTCAACATTTGGATCGTTCAGAAAAGGAAACCATGGAACTCTGTAACTGGGCAAAAGAACCAAATTATAATAAAATAAAAAAGAAAAACTTGCCAGTAATTACTTGTGTCTCTCTGACAAACAACAGTTTGTTACTTACAAGAAAGTAGCCAAGCCATACCAACGAATAAATCTTTAATAAAAGTGGGAATATTACTTTCTTTCCCTCTTCTGCCATTTTATCTATAAGCTTGATCCCTCACATTGTGCAAAGATACACATGCTGTGTAAAGATATTTAGCATTTTATGATGATATATGATGTTTATACATGAAGTATATGATCTATGTGACACACACCAAGTTTTTCAAACTTCATCTAAAAACGGTATATACAATTTTCCAAACACCTCTTCAAGCATCAGTGCAGGTTTACAAATACAACAGATGTTTTAACATAAAAGCTGTTCCAGATCCCTTCTGAGAGGGAGTCTGACAAACTAGGTGTCACCAAAAAGTCGGCAGCCAGTGCAGGCTCTTGTTCCCTGTTCAGATTGCCAACTGGCCCGGCAGCTGCAGCGGCACTTCAGAGAAAAGAAATGGTGCATTGTGCTACCACGAGTACGAGCTGCTGAGGGGAAATGCTGCAGCACTCTGTGTGACTGCAGTCGCCTAAGAACCAATGGCTCTATGCCCATGGATACTGCATTGCTCTAGCCCAGCTGGGACATAAGAGTCCTATAAAAGCATAACTTAGCTAGGACAAAATCTCCCCAAGAACGAGAGATGAAAGAAATCATTAATCACAGCAGTTGCCAATCCAGCAGTAGTTCTAAATTACAGACTGTACAAGACAACTGAGACTTGGCCAAAGGCATCTTCCAGCTCTCTTTTGTCCTCACATCTGCCTCACTTAGATCCAACTTCAACTACCTGATCCCTACTGACAAACTGATCTTGTCTGACCTTACGTAGTAGCAATAGTTTTGGTGAAAGATAAATTGAGTTTTTTGTCTTGCTTCTGCATCTCTCTGCTGCTGGAACCTACACTGTACATTTTGCCACTTTCTGCATGGGGACAGCACAACCTCAAGTCCAACACTGAGTGCTCCAAGGTAGTACACTGAAGATGGCAAGACATCATTCATCCCAGAGTAAGAGTTTCATAATCAGTGTTGCTAAAATGATTCCCAGCCTGCGTCTAGACTGAAAATAATGTTCTAGACCTCGTGCAATTAGGTAAGTTACAAGTCAGTTTCAATTCCTTAGTTTTTCAATCATGGCTACAAAATAAGCACATCCCAAGAAGCTTCACAGTTTAAGTAGGATCATGAGTCTTGTTTCCTGGAAGCTGGCAGAGACCATGGTCACAGGACAGTGAAAATACATGGAAAGTCTATGTAAGCTGGATCAGAAATGACATATGAAATTCAGAGAAAGGCAGGAAACAAGAATTTGGGGCTTTTTCTGCCCAAGAGATCATATTTTTATGTCCTACAGTGGTTACTGTGGGGTATTTCATCATTGTCATCAACAAAGCACAGGAGTAAGCTTTTTAATGAAGCCGTTAGTCAGGCTGCCCTGTAACTGAGGATGGGACCAACCCTGTTAGCTCTGACTCACATGAACTTCTCTTACCTAGGGCAGTTTTTTGATGGGAAGATGAATGAAATGCCCCCGGACCTCCTTTCTGTCTGGTTCCTCATGTCTGAGATGCAGGTTTTGCAGGGTGCTTACAGTGCACTATTTGAGAGTGCTTTGTTCTTTTAATTGAAAACAGGAAACATGGAATGTAGAAGCTCCAAAAACTTCAAAGGCAGTTTCCACTGCCAAAGGAGTTGCATTTCAACTCAAGTTCATTCTCTAGATTAAATATTCAAATCTGACAGTGTGAGAAGATGCTCACACCTTCGAGAGGATTGATGATTTCTAAGCGACAGGATTCAGATTATGGCTGTAAATACCAGTGTGGTAAACTGAGCAGTACAACTCTTCCTAAATGTGAGTTTTATTTCGAGCTCCTCAGTTTGAAATGAATTTCTAAAAATACCACAGCTTTAC